CAGAACACAAATTTCTCTCAAGTTAAAGAAATGGATAATTCTAGCTGGAAAATCAAAGTAAAGGCTGAGTTTGAATGACTTAGTCACAGCTGGAGGAACTTCACTAACCTAACCAGCAAAGGAAACAGCTGGCTCAGGTGACATCTGCATGTCACCGCTGAAGGAAACAGTGAGAGCACAGGACGGCCAGACGAAGGGCCAGAGCAGGAGGTGGGCCAGAGGGCAGAATCTCCGGAGCGTGAGTTCCTCCCCACACACACACCATGGAGTTTCCTGGGTGCTGGGACTGGTCTAAGGCTCTGGGGGGCACAAAGATGCTCAATACATGGTCTCCCCATTTTTAGAGGGGTCCAGCCAACAAGATTAGTCAGTGCCACGAGGCCAAGGGGATGTGACCATATGTGACCTGTGAGTGTGGCTCAGTGAAGGGGTTGGGACGGAGGCTGGACTTTAAGGACATAAGACTGGACAGTGAAAAAGAGGTGTGTACTCTGGTCATTTATGGTATTGACAGACATGAGGTTTATCCAGGGAAGCAGGCTTCAGAGAGATGGTTTGAGAGACTTCAAACCAAAAGGTTAATTAGAAAGAAATTGAGTGTTACGAGGTAATTTAAAATAATGTAACCTGGCAAGTCTAAAAAATTCATTCTTCTAAATCCACTGACTTCACTTATGGGACTTAGCCCAGGAAAACAGTGAGACCAGGGAAGGCTATGAAAGAAGAACTCTCAGTCTTTGGTCTACACACCTGACGGAATTCAAAGTTTCCATTATAAGCCTGTGTTTTATAGCTTTTAAAAAAAGGTTTTATTTATTTATCTTTAGAGGGGAAGGGAAGGAGATAAGGAGAGAAATATCAATGTATGGTTGCCTCTCGTGCGTCCCCTGCTGGGAAGGAAATGGCCTGTAACCCAGGCATGTACCCTGACTGGGAATTGAACCGCAGTTATTCGGTTCGCAGGCCCGCACTCAGTCCACTGAGCTACACCAGCCAGGGGGTTTTATAGCTTTTAAATAATGCAGATTCATAGCGCTAAAAAGAAAAAAATGCTGCAAATCTCTGTACAGAAAATATTCCTATTGTATAACAACAAAACACAAAAAAATGACTTTTGATGTCCAGTGCTAGGAAAATGAGTATGAAAATTAGGATGTAATTATATCTTAGGAGCTTCTGCAACAAGTCAAAGAATGTAATGACAAGTATGTAATAATAACATGAAAAAAACTTCATCAGTTTAGTAAGGGGGGAAAAAGGCCAAAAATTTAATGTAGGCTGTGATTATGTTATGTAAAAGTGTGCATTAAAAAGCCTACTAAAAAATAAACCACATATACCTAAAACTTAACAGATTGTGTTAGCATGCAAAGATTTAGGTGGCTTTCTTTTCTCTACTAACAGTTTTGCAAAAACGTGATTTTATTGCTGCTTTTATTTTTTTAAGATTTTATTTATTTATTTTTAGAGAGGGGGAAGGGAGGAAGAGAGGGAGAGAAACATCAGTGTGTGGTTGCCTCTCATGCACCCCCACACTGGGGGACCTGGCCTGCAACCCAGGCATGTGACCGGACTGAGAATTGAACTGATGACCCTTCGGTTCACAGGCCGGCACTCAATCAACTGAGCCATACCAGCCAGGGCTGATGCTTTTATTTCTAAGAGAAAAGATGCCACAAAAGGAAAACCAAAACAACACTCTAAGACACAAGCCGTCGGAGTGGCAGTGAGGGCTGGAGAAGGCAGCCCTGCGCGTGTGGGCCTGCAGGGGGCAGCCCAGCGGGGCAGGCGCGCCCGGTCTGGCTCACTGGCCATCTCACACATATGAGGGCTTAGGAATAGCTCACCTCTAAAGCACTTCCAGGTTTAATACTGTATGATTTTAAGTTGAAAAAAACTAAGAAATCGGAGAAGAGGCAAGAGAAATCAGGAATCTCTCCAATTCCCCACTCAGTGTAGAAAACCGGTTGGGGGGGGCCATCTGTTCATTAAGTCTCAATGCTTACTTCAGACCAAACGGTGTGTGAGCACTGCAGGCACTTAGTGAAACATTGCGTCCCTCCTCCAGATTTGAAAGATGCTCTAAAACTAGACCAATACATAGCTGTGAAGTTAAAACAACAACGTAAAACGAAAGTGTTCAGGGAAACCGTGAAGCCACACGGTCCGCTGCCCTACTAGCTGTGGCGGGCAGCGTCTCCGGGAGTCAGGAGAGGGCGGGTGTGGGTGTGGGGACGGGCTCACTGGCAGCAGTGCTACGACACCCACAGGGGGGGACAAGACGCGAGGCCCACTGAAGAATGGGGACGGGGTTCCTTCTGGGGCTGATGCAAATGTTCACACAGATAATGGTGGATGGTCACACAACCCTGTGAATATACCCCAAATCGCTGACATACAGTTTAAAAGGCTGACTTTTACGGTATGGAAATTACATTTCAGTTTTTAAAAAGATAGGGTCAGAAATGACTAATTGGAAAGTGTGGAAAAATCCAAAGGTACACTGGGTACAGTGATGAGGATGGGGTAGGTTGAAAACAAATTTCAAAGGACTTACAACGTCAGGAAAAGGTCACTGGAAATCCTCACCCATGAGACAGTGAGGGAAGCAAAGGCCGATGGACCAGAACGTGAACGATCCAAGCTTTGTGTGTGTATCCTCTGCTGGAAAAACAAGCCTCAAGTAAGTAAAGCGGGGGCTGGTCCCACTCACCTGAGAGGTACCCGAATACCTCCGGGAGTTTATGAGTGAACGACCATCTGAAGGTTACTCTGGGTGTGTGTGAAAAGAAGAATAGGGAAGAACTCAGACTGGGTCAGTAACGTCCAACTGAATGAAACTGAGTCTGAGCCTGAACAGCACGACTCCACACCGGGAATACTCACACACAGGATCAAAAGGATGGGGACACCCAAGGGATTCCCAAGAGTCTTTGCTCTCTACCATACTTACATAAAATATATTTAATAGGTTTAAATGCAAAAATATTACAGAGTTTAGCTCTAGCCATACAAACTAAATTCCACTTGTGTACAAAAAGCAAGAAAGAGAAAGAAAGGAAAAAAAAAAAGAAACATGAGATGAGCAGAAGAGAAAGAAGCGATGAGCTGGCCACTGTCTCTTTAAGAGGCTCCTTGGAGATACATAACTGGAGAAAGCCTGGCGAATACAACATTGATTGGGAATGAGGTAACCACAAACACCACTGTCTCAAATGAAAAGGGATTCAAGATCTGACCCAGAAAACAAGCATCGTAACCACCAGATAAAATTTTAATGATAAACACAAGATGCTCTACACACAAGCAAGATATGAAGTAGCTGATGCTAGGCGGTAAACGCAAGGTCCTCTTAGAAAGAGGAGCCGGGAGGAGCCTCGCTGGCCCGCGGATCAAGTTCCGTCCGATCGATCGCACCTGCCGTGGCTTTGCTCTGTGCGGGTCGCGTCTGCAGGGATGAGCCGGCCTCAGGGGAACACAGAAGCAGGAGAGAAAGGACTGGCACCAGCCTGCCTTCTGTGAGGTCCACGTCTGGACAAGAAATTCATAACTGGCCTCTGAGGTTCAGGTCTCCTCTATTTCTGATTTCTTTTATGGCTCTCTCAGTCCAATCTCCACCTTCGGTCCTCAAAGGTCCTAGACACACGAGGAGACCCCTTCAAGGCAGAACGAGATCAGTCCCTTTCTCAGTTACCATGGGATCTCGGCCCTGGTGGGAGGGAAGGACCTTACATCATGTGCCACACAGGCTCTCAGGCCCACACCTGAGCAGTGAGGGGCCCGAGCCCAAAGCCGCACTGGCTGGACAGAAGTCCAGGTTTCCGGCCCATTAATCTTTCTAAAAAAATAGTTCTATCGTGCTCTGAGGCACAGCATTAACCTCTAAACTGTGGCCAGAAAAACAAAAGCTAACCAAAAGCTTTCCTTTATGCTGTACACCTGAAACTAACACAAAAGCATACTGAATGTAAACTATAATTTAAAATGAGTTTTAATTGCACTTACAAAAATAAGAAAACAAAAAAAACCCAAACATATTCCTCTTGGGCATATCTTGTTTAAAGCAAAGAAGCTTTTTCATAGACACTGAATGCCAGAACATATTAAAATAATCTGACATGAAATCTGAATTGAAGTCTGCAATTTCAATTCAAGTGTTTCTCTTTAAGAAATGCTTCTTAAGGAAAAAAACTTTTTTTTTCCTTAAAGAAAAACTTGCGTACTACTAAGCTGTTAAGTCCAATGTTTGTTTTTGTTTTCTTCTAGGTGGGAGCCCTTCTCGGGGGGCTCACTCCCATGCCGTCAAGTCTCAGAAGTTTAAGTGGCCTGCAGCATTAAGGGTACAATTTGAGAATCTAGTCCAAGACATCTTCATCAAAAAAACAAAACAAAACAAAAAACCCAAAACTGATGTTCTTATTATGCATTACAGATATACATGAACACATCTCTGTAGTAAAATATGAAGAATTCATGACAGTGGTTTTTAGAACAGAAGCCGAATCCACGGAAGCTGAATGAAATCTCTTGGCCGTGGAGACGAACAGAAAGCCTGTTTCGGGTTGAGTGAAGTGGCAAGTGCGTGCTGTGTGGTGGGGACGGAAGACTGTGTGGCTGGCTGCAGCCCTTCCTCAACAATAAAAGAAAGCTCCAGGACGACAGAACGAGAAAAGGACCTCTCTGTGCCAACGCGTATTATTCTTGCTTGACTTTTTTATGTCTTCATAAAATACAAACTGCTTGCCTTAATGAAAATCTAACACAACATGCCACAGGAGTGACTTTCAAGCCAGAAAAGACACATTGAGACGAATGGACTACAGATCTGCTCCGCGCCATTCGCTGCTCACTACACACTGCGGCCTTCTCAAGCCCTGGGGGATGGAGTCCTCTCACACACGGGCCACCTATCTGGGAGTGCGTGCTCTCAGGGACGGACGACGCTCCCGGGACGCAGGGGCGGCGCAGGAAGGGCGAAGTGAAAAGCTGTTCCGGCTTACCCAGCAATGACAACGCCATCGTGCGAGTGCACGTCACATAAAACCGCGTCAGCAACGTGCTCCAGCTCACTCACGGCACCCTTGCGAGTCTGCGTAAGGAAAAGGGGGTGCAGTTCACGTTATTCTGGGACGGCCAGAGACAAAGCACGTCAGCTCTACCCACACTCCACAGGGATTTATGGCAGGGACTGTGTTCTAAGTTATCTGGACAGCCAGATGGACAAAGATGACAATTAACACGCTGCCTTATTAGCACACACGAGTTACCACATGCACACACACATGCGCACACACGACAAGCACTGAACTAGGGGCCCCGGCATGGGAGACGCCGCCCCGTGCTCAAGGGAACAGGAAGGCAGCCCGTCCGCACTGGCAACTGCAGTCCACACCAGGCTGACAGCAGCAAGTATCTGAAGAAACGCACGAGGTGTGTGAAGAACTTCGGGTCAGAGACGAGAAAGTGTTTAACGATATTTCACCTGTTCACAGCCCGCAGAATAAAATGAACAAGTGCACTCGAAGAGAAAAACTCAGGATGGGGAAGGAAGAAAAGACACTGATCTGGACTGAGAGGCCAGAGGTTCATGAAAGCAGTTCTTCAAGGAAACCCTAAAACCCACGACGTTCGCTGTTCCAGAGGAGGGGACCAGAAGGTCAGCAAGGAGAGGCGAGAGAAAGACGCACCTTTCACTGTAGGCCCTTTCCTGACTCTCGGCATTTTATCAATCCGAATATGCACATAAAATAATCATTTTTGAAATGCAAACAAAGGGAACCTGAAGGAATACATAGCCCTTACACGTGAGATGCTGGGAAGGCTCGGAGAGGGAAGCTGAGAGGAAGCACGCACGATGGTGTCCAGAACAACAAGCCAGCCGTCACTCCCGCTTTGCCAACTGGCCCGGGAACTGGGAACCGTGAATGTGAGTACTGAACACAGCTGGTAACACGCAGCAAGTGTTCAAACACGGTAGCAACCCTTATTATTATATTACTAGGAGACAGCTGATGACATCCACCCCATTAAAAACACCTGAGTAGCTGTAGTCTAGGCACTATGTAAGATAATCTGCGCGATGATCTCACTTAAAGACCAAGTCCAAGGCTGAGGGACGTCCAAGTGGAGCTGTCCTGCCAGTGGATGTATGGAGATGGAAGGGAAGGACTTGGGAGTCATCTGTGTGAGGGCCACAGCCCGAAGCACAAGAACAGCAAAGCTTTTTTGAGCGACAAGTGTTGAAAGAAAGAGAAGGCCTGAGAGCAAAACTCACGTGCTTACAGAATTCACTAATCTCTGTCACGTGGCTTCCCCACCTTGCCGCCACCCCAGGGGCTGCAACCCCACAATGGTCTTCTGGTCTTAGGAAATCCTCAAAGGCCAGAGAGAAGAGAGTTAATGCAAACGCCAGGAAGAAGAACACTACAGCCACCTCGACCAGCTTATCGAATCATTTCCGCGTTGGCTCTGAACTGCAGGTCCAAGGGAGTTTGTGCACCCACAGCCCGTCTCCTACATAGAAATACTTGAGGGCCCTGGGGTCCCTTCTCGGGTTTCCCAGACACTGACCCAGGGAATACCAAACCAAATCACCTGCCTGACCCGTGCTGACATCAACCACAAGGAGCACTGAACCACAGTGTCTGCGTGCAAAGGCCTGTGAGCTCTCCGGCCAATGCTCACTGAGCACGGGGCCATGCTCTGCGGGAGTAGCGTCAGACGTGCAGCGTCAGACGGCCTCCCGCCCACAGCCCTGCGAGCAGGGCTGCTTCGAGCCCCACTGGAGAGCGGAGAACACGACAGCACACAGAAGCAAAGCGACTTGCTTTGACACTGCCTTTCCTGTTTTGATAGGACTTTTTCGTTCTAGAATTGCAATGAGAATTCCATCATTACAGCTCATGCAATGTTTGCTACTGAATGTTTCACTTATGTGGTCCTCACTAGGAACACTGTCCAAAACACGGGTCTGAGATACTCCACAGAGAAGCCTCTCTCACATTCTGCCTGCAGTTTGACTCCAGTTCATTCGGTCCACAACCACTCCCCAAACACAGGGCTTCGTGCTGGTTGGAGAAAAACAACAAATGGATGTTCGGTTAAACCACATGTAACTTGTGTGCTGTTAATAAGTGCCAGATGCTATGAGGTGGGTCTTTAAACCCCTTCACTTCCGCCACCCGCAGCCTGGAGGAGGGAAGATACACGGGCTGCCTCCTTTGCTTTCTCCAACACCAAAGAGGACACAGAAAATGCAGCCGCTGTTCTCTCTCGGGATCCCATGTCTGTGAATCGGAGCGCGAACACACGGAATACCTGCAGCTCTCGTGCTCGCTGATCTCAACAGTGCCCCTTCTTCCCAGCCTGAAACACCCCAGTTAACGCCTACCTCTCAAGTTTACCTTAAATTGCAGGCCCTCCTACCAGCATTACACCCTGGCTTTCTGCCCTCCCCGGCCCCCACCTGTCTAGGCAGCTTTGTCAACCCCTTAAGCCTGGCTCTCACTTATGTCCCTCACACAGACCCTACTCAAGCACATAGGCAAGAGGGCTACGGGCCCCCCCAACACACGTTCATTACCTGGTGAGGAGGCCAACTGTGGGCAGTGTGACTTTTAACTGATACTTAGTGGTGGCGTCTTAATGGCCTGAGAAAGGACAGCTCTCCTCATTCTCCTTAGAAAGGTGGTTCTCCACCAGGAGCGACGTTGCCCCCAGGGTTCATCTGAGGACGTCTGAAGACATTTTTGGTTGTCACAGCTGGCAACCAAAGAGAAGGAGAATGCCCCTGGCACCTACTGGGTAGAGCCTACGGAGGCTATGCAACACCCTCGAGGGCAGAGAACCACCTGGCCCAACGCCACTAGCGCAGGGACTGAGAAACCCTGAACTAGAGAACCACCGCTTACTGACTTTGCTAGAAGCTGTGTGAGGTTGCCCAGACCAAGAGTATCAGTCACTAATCAGGTTACGAGTTGACTGGGGACAGACATGCACATAGGCCATATGTCACCATCAATAATGAGCAAAAGTCTGTTCATCTCCAAGTCTATTAGGACTGACCTTTAAAGGAGAGGAAAGAGTATGGTTTTATCCCCTCCACACAACCAATACCCAGCTACGCAGGTGGGGACAAACACGACCGCCACCCGGCTGTCTCGTCATGCCTCAAGCAGCTTCATGCAACACTGTTCTCGACACTTACTTCCTACAGAAACACTGCGCTGTGAAATTCTTAGCTGTGATCTAATATTTCTGTAGAGATTCTGAAGTGATAAATGTGATGGAAGCAAGCCAATAGGTTATGGGAGGGAAGAGAAGACAGTACTTAGAGACATTTAATAATCTCCCTCTTAACATTTACAGGAAACAGCCCCTCTTTTGTATTCAGGTGGTGATTTTGCTTTCTTGGTCCGTCCAGAGAGGTGGAGAGAGTGAGAGGGGCTGCACGGAGCACCATGTCACAGACCCCGCCCCTCGGAGGGAGGTAGCCGGCCTCTAACTCCCCTTCCTCTCCTGGAGAACAGCAGGATGCTCCCAAATGGTGTGGTTGGAACGGGGGCGGAGACTCCGAGGGCGAACAAAATGGGCAACAAGTCAGCAGCAGCTGAAGGTGAGCTCCCCCCCTCCCCTGCTTCTGGCAGTTACCCTCAGGCTGCAACGAGAAGGACTCGGGGGTCACTCCCAGGCTTGGATTCCCGTGTCCTCGCAGGCTATTCTGCAGGTAATGATACTGGCCACGGCCTACCTTCCAGTTGGTTCTTAACATGTGTTCCTTGGCTCGGCACTCTTGGAAGATGAGCTTCCAGCGAGAATAATCAGAGATGCTGCTGTCGGGAAGGTGTCCGTCCTGCTGGCACAGCCGGTACCACAGCACCTCGTCTTCGGCAATCGCCTTCCACGTCTTGCTCACCTACAATGGCAGAAGTGACACAAGTGTCAAATCCTGCAATTAGAGAAGGCCCTTGTCATCCAAAAATCAATCAACACCTTTATTATTGCCCTGGGTTTATGGCAGTATAAAATGTCTCATTAACAAAACACTCGGAGGTGGAAAAAAGGAAAAACAACAAGCAAATGTTTCCAGTTTTATCTTTCAAGACTGCAAAATTGTTGTATTATCATCTAATATCACATTTTAGACTACTTGAAGTATTATATAACATCAGAGACAAATACACAAAAGGCAAGAAGTGCACGCTGTGTCGGGTTAATCAGCAGACGATCACACACGGCTGGTCAGAACAGAACCACGCTGCTTCCCCCAACAGGCCCCTGCAGTCCCATCCTGGGGACCAGCAGCCTCTGAAATAGGCCTAACTCAAAACTTCTGCTTGTGTGAGAATTTCAAATTTATGGTACGTGTGAAAGCTTAGATTTTAAGTGTGTACCTTAAAAAATATTTAATAGAAACTCAAGCTGTTAACCAGGACTGTAAGATCTGATATAGAGAAATTAATGTTATGTCTGGACTGAATTTCAAATCCCAACAGTATCCAGAGGAAATGGCAGTTTTAGCTATTAGTGCTTTGTCTTCGAAGCCTAACTGAGGGGAACAATGAATTTACTTCACCACCCGATAATGGACCAGGTGGGGCAGGCTGCAGAAGGTGAACTCCACTGGCAAGGTGAGAAACTGACCCAGCAGATCACCATGAACTTGGGCCGCGATGCACTCTGCTTGCCACCCATCCAACTCACCTTTAACAAAGTTAAGAGTCGTGACCAATGGCTTCAGTCACCGGTGCTCCTAAACATTGCCGTGAGACCACTTCAAGACATCAAACACGCAGACGAGAAGAACGCAAGTGAGCCAGAGTAAGCGAATACAGGCAGCATGCGTGTGGCAGACGCTCCCTGAACGCGGATGCCTAACTTAATCACGAACTGACGGGGGGGGGGGGGGGGGGTTAACTTTTGGAATTACAGAGTAAAGAACTCCAGAAATCTGCTCCTCCATAAAAGCAACAAAAATGCTGCCAAAAATTGTCAAAAATCAACTTTTCACAATTCTGGAAATTAACTAAAGGCTTGCAACATTTTGAGGAGCATTCATTCTAGAAAAAAGGCTGAATCTTGGTAAGAAGCGTAACTTCTATTCTGTTTGAACTTTCGCTACTCCCACCCTCCTCCTCCTTCAGCTCCGTGGTAGCCTTGAAGACCAACAGCCTTGCACCTACAGTAGCTGTAAAGTCCAGGAGCCCCGCAGCCACTGGAGAAGCCAGACAGGTTTCCAGTGCCCCAAAAGTGCCATCCCCAGGGCACTGTTACCATCTGGCCTGTCTGGCAGCTTGCTGAAAAACTCTCTTCTGAAGGCCTGTCTTCATCTGAACCACCTCACAGTGCACTCTGTCCTGTATCCAGGGCATTTGTCAAAAACAGTAAGGGACAACTGCTGAACAGGGCAGCAGCCTATGGCAGCATGACCAACTGGGGCTAAAAAGAGAAGAACCAGAACACTTAGAAGGAAAATCTGGGGAATGGGGTGCCCAGAGCGGGCTTTGAAAGGCTCCAAGATACTTCTGGGAATGAAGAATGCCAAGAGCATGAACAGAGATGTGTGTGTGTGCCCAGGAAAGCCCTGAGAAGGCCCTGGTCCCTCAGCTCTTGCAAACACCAAGGCTCTACACAAGCAGGAGGTACAGGCTAGTGCAGGCTAGTGCAGGCTGTAAATACCAGCACACTGGAGGCGTGCCCCAACACGCAGGGCGTACCTTGGCAAAGGCTGGGAAATGTGCTGGTCCGATGTACTTAAGGTTAAGTCTCCATCCAAACACCAGCCAATCACTAAGCTAACTGAGCAGAGACTTAGTCCAAAAGATTCACTAAACAGACAGGAGCAATAACAAAATATCATGTTAACGAACCACACCGAGGGGGAGAGGATCTGATTTCAGAGTGCCACATTATTTTAAAAGGCCAGTTTTTAACACCAAATGATGAGGCACACAAGAAACAGGAAGGCACTACCAGTGTATGGAGGAATAAAAGCAGGCGCTAGAAACTGTCCCTGGGCAAGCCCGGACGTTACAGAATCACTAAACAAAGGCTTTGTATCAGCCATCGTGTCTGTTCAAAATGCCAAAGGAAAGCAAGTCTGACGCATAAAGGAAGGTATGAGCACAATGTCTTGCCCAGTAGAGAATATCAATAAAGAAATATAAATTATTTTTAAAAAACAAATAGAAATTTCAGAGTTGAGAGGCACAGTAACTGGAATAAAAACTTCACTAGTGGGGTGTAAGAACAGACTTGAGCTAGCAGAAGAATCGGGAAACTTAAGGTCAATTAAGATTATTCAGGGACTTCCGCCAAGATGGAGGCATAGGTGGAGAAGCCGTGCCTTCTCTCACAACCAAGTTTAGAGACAACTAAATATTAGCAACAGAAAACACAACCAAAACACAGAAAATTGAACTTTTCGTAAGTCTGATAACAACAAATTCTTCAGCCTGACCAGTAAGAGGGGCGAAACCAGCAGCTGTTGGAGCGGGGTTGCACAGGAAAACTCGGTCAGATGGACTTGGGCGTGCGGAATCCAGGTGCAGGGTTGGACCTAGTAAGCGACTCAGCGAGCGACCGTGGAGAAACAGCGAGGGAGCAGGGCTGCGGGTTGACTGTGGTTGCGCTTTCGTGCGCAGATAGACAAGCGAGGGAGTGGGTGGTGAGACTACAGGACTGAGCAGGCCCCACGGGGAGCGGCAGCAGAGGGCGCTGCCATTTCCCCACTCTGACCCCGCCTCTACATACAGCGTCATAACTCAGCGACCTGAGTGGCCCCGCCCTGGTGAACCACCTAAGGCGCTGCTCCTCACCCAGCCCCGAGAAACAGCAGAGGAGGTCGCCATTTCCCCGCTATGACCACGCCCCCACATACAGCGTCACAACCCAGTGACCTGAGAGTCCAAGGCTCCGCTACTCATACTTAACGGACACAAACAGACCAAAAATGGCTCAAGATCTCAAAGCCCCAGAGCCTATAAATCTAAGCGATAAAGAAATAGCAAAACTCTCAGACGCAGTTTAAAACACTGGTGATCAGGATCCTCACAGAACTGGTTGATTATAGCCACAAATTAGACAAACATATGAAGGCGAAACTAATTGAAATGAATGGAATTGCACAGGAAACCAATAGCAATGAAAAGGAAACTGGGACTCAAATCAAGGGAGTGGACCAGAAGAAAGCAAATAATGGCCAAACAGAAAAGAGTGAAGAAGCAAGAATTCAAAAAAATGAGGAGAGGCTTAGGATCCTCCAGGACATCTTTAAACGTTCCAACATCCGAATTATAGGGGTACCAGAAGGGGGAAAGGAACAGCCACCAGTGGAAAACTTATTTGAACAAATAATAAAGGAGAATTTCCCCAATCTGGCAAAGGAAATAGACTTCCAGGAAATCCAGGAAGCCCAGAGAGTACCAGAGAAGTTGGACCCAAGAAGGAACACACCAAGGCACATCATAATTACATTAGCCAAGATTAAAATGAAGGAGAGAATCCTAGAAGCAGCAAGAGATAAGGAGACAGTCACCTACAAAGGAGTTCCCATCAGACTGTCAGCTGATTTCTCAAAAGAGACCTTACAGGCAAGAAGGGGCTGGAAAGAAGTATTCCAAGTCATGAAATCCAAAGACCTACAACCAAGATTGCTCTATCCAGCAAAACTTTCATTAGAATGGAAGGACAGATAGAGTGCTTCTCAGATAAGATCAAATTCAAGGAGTTCATCATCACCAAGCCCTTATTATATGAAATGTTAAAGGGACTTATCGAAGAAAAAGAAGTTAAAGAAACATGAATAGTGAAAGGACAACAAACTCACAGTTATTAACAACCACACCTAAAACAAAAGCAAACTAAAAGGACAGCTAGATCAGGAGTGGAAACATAGAAATGAAGATCTCAAGGAGGGTTAGCAACAGGGGAGTGGGAGGAGGAGAAGGGGGAGAAGGTACAGAAAATAAGTAGCATAGAGAGTAGATAGAAAATTGATGGGGGGGCAAGAATAGTATGGGAAATATAGAATCTAAAGAACTTGAGACACATGGTCATAAACTAAAGGGGGGGTAATGGTGGGGATGGGGGGTAGGGTGGAGGGGAATGAAGAGGGGAATAGAACAACTGTAATGGCATAATCAATAAAAAATAAATTAAAAAATATATAATAATAGTATAGGAAATATAGAAGCCAAAGAACTTATATGCACAACCCATGAATATGAACTAAGGGGGAGGGGGGAGGCAAGTGGGAGGGGGGCCCAGGGTCGGGAAGAATAAAGGAAGGGAAATGGGACAACTGTAAGAGCATAATCAATAAAATATATTTTAAAAAACCCTAAAAAAAAAGATTATTCAGTCTGAGAAAGAAAAAAATGAAGGAAAAATACACAAATAAACCAAAAAATGAAGAAAACAACCAAGCCTCAGAGACCTGAAGGGCCCCACATGTGTGGACCAAAATAAATATTACGAGAGCTCCAGAAGGGAAGGGAAGAGATGAAAGGGTGGAAAGACTATCTCAAGAAATAATGATCGAAAATTTTCCACATTCGACAAAAAATATTAATCTACACATCAAAAAAATTCAATGAACCCCACGAAGGACTCACACCCAGACACTTCACAGTCAAGCTGCTGAAAGCCAAGACAGAGCGAACCTTGAAGGCATCAGAGAGAAAAGACCCGCTGCACACGGGGATTCGGTGCGCACCAGACACCACGGGGCGGCCTTTGCAAACTGCTGAAAGAGACTGCTGACCAATAACCGTCTGTCCGGCCAAACTATCCTTCGAGAAGAAAAGCGGAACAAAGCTATTCTCAAATAAACAAACAATTCATCACTAGTAGACCTGACCTGCAAGATACACTGAAGGGAACCCTTTAGGCTGAAATGAGAGGACTCGGAACATG